CAATGAAGCTTTTTTATTTACACCAACTATTGTATGTGCATAATTATTACTTCCTATGTTGAATTGAGGTTAGTATTGATCACTAATTTTAAAACTGAAAATATATTTCTACTTATTATAATTGAAATAACTCAATAACAAACAACTTGATAAGTATCTTTATAGAAAAAATTATTTGTTTTCTCAATCGAATGATTGAGAAAATGATTGACACTGATTCCTGATGGTTTACAAATAGATCTTTTATTTAAACACCAAAATCATAAACCTGTTTTCTGTTCAAGTCGTCTATATGATGCTATATATCTGACATGGAAAGCATTCAATCGCAAGATAGGTGTTGATGGATCAGTGACTTAAGTTAAATTATCAAAACTAACAATATATTTATTTCTTATAAGAATGAAATGTTTAGTCAACTGATATGATTATATAACAACTAATTAGTAGTAGTAATCATAGTTTATTAGTTACAAATGTTTAAAAATGCAAAAATTTATTGACAACAGATAAACAGCACTAGTTCTGTTTCCGTAAATCTTTCCATGTACAGTAGTATTTATGTTCACAAAATTTTTGCAACATTTTCTCTAATCTTATAAGTTTCTTCATTATTTATTTTCCCTGTAATTTTAATTCTACAATAAGCTTGAGAAAACAGTACATATTCTGCTTATTTTTCTGCTCAGTGTTTGAAATCACTGCCTTATTTCCAATTGTTAGAAATAATACCAAAGTATAGTATTCAGATTGATATGATAATCCTTTTTTCTATCCTTCAACATAAACTGAAATTATTAGTCGTCATTTGGTCAGGATCAAATGGTTTATGAAAATGTTAGTTGAATACAAATTGTAGATTGTTCTATTTAATTCGAAATTATTCAGTAATTTATTTTTTCTTGAATTTTTTCGGTCAGTTAAATAAACTTGGTAGCAGTAGTAGTATTTTCGCATAGATGGATTGAAACAGTGTTAATGTTATGTAATTTTAATATAATGATCGATTTGAGAACCAGTTGTTTATTGTTATGAAAAAAATCTGTATCCCCAACATAACAGTTTGAATATAGCATGTCATGTAATAGCTTAACGTTTGAAGCATTGGAATTCCAACCAATGGGTCATATGATCGAACCTGTTGCGTCTACTTCAGTTTGAACAAATTGGTTACCCTAGACAGCTCTTAGGTCAACAGTGTAATTGAAAGCTGAAAGATTTACCTAGTAAAAGAGGCTATATTAAAATATTTGAGGAAAATGATTTGTGGAATTTAGTTACTTTGTTAAAAATCGTAAGTTTACAAAATCTGTTTACTATCGAGTTGTTTTTTCATTGAGCCGATACCTCGATCCCAATTGTATAGATTTTAATAAATTTTAAAAACCTTTCGTCAAATAATTAAGCATATGTCAGTTAATTAAAGCCATCATTCCTGTACAAAATATTCAATTACAAAAAGTATACCTTATCAAATACACACCTCAGTATCCGATTGACTGAACGCTACTTATTACGTGATTCTAGTGAATGTTGTTCCAGCGTCTAATTTTCGAAGTCGTTGGACTTAATCCCTAGTATAAAACATTAATTCAGGTCTTTGTTATTCTTATCATAACCAGTACACATGTCACCATACTATCAATTTGTACTTTTTATTTCACCTTTATCACTGACAAATAACGATAATCAAACAAGATCAAAGTTGGAAAACAAAAGGTTACCAAATGATTAATCCGTTCATCCAGTTGCACTAATGTATTCATCAACAATAGGAATGACTGTAATTTCTTTGCAGTAGTTTTGGGTTTGTTTAGTTCCTACTTCTTTTTAATCAATAATTATAGGTTATGATTATTTACTTGACGTTAATAATTATGTGAATTCCTTCAATGTAAAAATTATCCGGATTGACTGAAACAAATATCGCCTTCATCTTATAGTTTGAGAAGAATAATAACAATGATTCATATTATAATTTGTATTTCATTCTAGAATGCCGGTTTGTCTTTAATTTTCCATTCTATTTATTTCAATAAGTCAGTAACATTTTATGACTGAAATGTAACGGAAGTATGGTTCTTTGATAAAGATAAAGCTATAAGAAAACTGTCAGTTAGTCGATCAATATCAGAAAGTTGACTCACAATTCGCTTGTGATGTTTGTTTGAATTATCGAATTGATGTTTAGGAGTCGAGTTGATCGGTCTCTTTTGAAAATGTGTGCATTCTGTGCAGTCCCTCGATAATGTTTTTCAATTGTAAGCCAGTGGCTATCTGGACTCAGTAACCAAGTGGATAATTCGATGACGTTTGAAGTTAACGATACTGGTTTTTAGTTGAGAAATCGACATCAAATTCGGGATGCAGATACATGCAGTTGACGAGTCCCAAATATGGGTAAACGCCCATCATGAATTCCACAGCTATCCACCATCCATGTCTTCGTATAATGAGTAATAGTTGTTTTCAGGATCCTTTGCAGTAAGCTGTAGTGTGAAGAAAACACAATTGCTGAAATATAAACATTTTTTATTGTACTTAATTCTGACAGTAATTGTTGTATTGTACACCTCTTGTTTTTCTGTACTAAAGATTTTATCTCGTGCGTCAAGCGTGTTATTCCCAACTTCCTCTTCGCACGTATCCTGCGTGTACGTTAGCTGTTTGTACGCCTCCTGGTATCGATATTATTTCGATATCACGAGGCTAGCATTAAGTATACTTCTTCCTCTAGGTTCGCCTTTTTATTTGAATCTTTGAGTACCGGGATTAACATTTGTTATCCTGCGAATTAGTATTTTATTTTATTCGCTTTAGACTATGAACACATCTACAAACCTACCAAGTTTTTGTCTCAACTGTTATCAGATATCTTTTATCCGAAAAACAAGTACTGAATAGTCCAGATGAAATAAGCGTATTTCCTGACGATCTTGTGCTACCGAAAGAGTACTGGACCGTGAAAGAGTAATGGACTATGGTGAAGAGCAGCAAAAGAAGTTAACGGGCGCGTTAATAATGAGAGCGCATTAAGAAAGTGCGAATAAACAAACCGTGATGGTGGAAAAATTTTGTAGCTCAGTTGTATAAACCAACCGTTCGGTAAAGCGTTCACTGGTAGAATTTGTTGTAATAAGAAATGATGCTATTTCCCCAATCCCGTTATTCCTCTTAAAATTGCAATAATTGCAGCAAGCGTGCGATTGTAGGACATATGGGAGTTGAACCATGACGCTTGAGTTTTCTCCGAAGGCTTTTTACGTAGAGTGGTACCATGTCCACTGCTTCAGTTGACGTGCCACACCAAATTGATGTGCATCGAGAATCTAAAGATGGCGTTCAATAATCCTGATCCAGAAAACGCTGCAGACGTAGGATTAAACCACGTTGAGAGGTGAAACCATTATGCGACCATGATTACTGGGTTCGCCATCGTATGTATGTCAGACTCAGTCGGAACTAGAACGTCGACCAGGTACATCGACAAGTAGGCGGATCATAAGGCCAGATATAACCAATTTTGAACGAAGTCGACGGTATCAGAATGGCAGTGGCCGAAGGCGTAAGCTCAGGGTAAAAAAATTGCGAAGAAAGAAATAGTTATATCAGTTTTGTAGAAGTTATAGGGTATTTGAACTAAGTGTTGCTTACTGAGAGGCTAGTAGCCAAAGCGTGCAGACACATGTATCTGGCGACCAGAATCCTAGACTGTAGTCTCATCACAGTCGAGAGCTTGCTACTGAAACCTCATCCTTAGTTTGGTCTGCTGATTTGGACGTGAAACTGGATTCTCATCCGTAGATAGTGTAGATGACGCGTGCTGTTTACTGGGTCGTGAGAATGAGGTCTTTTGTGTCGGTGACAGGAAATAACGTGAAAATTTTATTCAGAAGACCGTTGCTGAGGTTCAAGTACCGAATCTACTGGTATGAAAACATATGAATATGTAGTTAACTCTTAGTGGGGAGTGCCTTGTTGATGCTGTACTGGAGTTGAAACCAGAGGCAGTGTTTGCATGTACGCAGATAGCCAGTGGATGTAATATGTCATACAAAAGAATCACTGATCCGTGGTCTGCAAAACACCCAGGGAAGACGCAATTTCATGCCGTATACAAGTTCTGCGGCGGTAAATTGAATATCTGTCTTTAATGTTCTGTAATCGCATCATCGTCTCCAACCAATACAATCTCTTTTGTGGATGGAATTGTTAGGCCTGCACGTAAACACTTCATTTTGATATGCTTGAACTATTACGAGTTTGCCTAGTCGGAAAACGTGAGCGAGGATCGAGGATCCGGCAACACGACATGCTACTCAAATCCGATTATCCCAACCCCCATATTGAGTAAAAGAAGACAAGACTTGATTTGAAGTAGAACCTGTATTCTATAAGCATCCAGAAAGTACGAGGACCGAATCCAGAATAGAATCAAAATCCCAGTCCAGGGATCCGGGACCGGGTCTCGGTCATCCTAAGCCATCCACAATGTTCGCAGTGAACCTCGGGTCTCATAGGAAGCCTTCAGCTCTATATAGCAGCATAGCATATGGTTTACACATATATAGCGTGGGATGGCAGAAGATGCAGCCAAGCGAACAGGCTCAGATACTCCTAATACCCTTTGTCTCATGTCCGGTAGTAATTTTTTCGCAGTTCCGAAATTTTTGTTTTTCGACAATTTGAGACCTGAGTTAGGGGTAATATCCCTAACCATAAAAGCAGCCAGCAATAATTTCCAGCAATGTGGACATTAAAATAAGGCAGTATGATATTCAAAAAATGCGTGTTGGTAATGTGAGGTTTCTGATGCGTCATAAGAAAATCATCCGGGTCGTTACACCTCGATCATCCTCCTACCTAATGCATTTTGGCCTTTAGATCCTTAAGGAGCGAAACAAGAACTAATGGTCTTCATGAACAGAATTTTTCCTACCTTCTAGACAAAGAACTCAAGGTACAATCAGTTCTTCTTTCTGTTAAGCAAAGTTTAGAGTTTGTCGTTCAGCTTAGAGGTCATTGTCAAGGCGCTAATTTTGTCATAGCATCCTCAAGGTATGGAGTTTCGAAGTATGGAGCTAGGTCGTTTCAACGTGAAGGCTTATTCCGGTTGCATATTTTCGTTTTCAAGTGATAACCAAGTATTAAGGATAGATAGTGCTTCTGTAATAGCGCATTGTCATTAACCAAGTTAACATCAACTGGTAAAATATTTAGTATTTTAACGTCACACTAGACACACCTATTTTGCACACTAAGTAATTACAGCTGATTAAATGAAAACGAGTTAGAGTTTGTGCAGGATCTACAATTACAACATGTTGAGAATGCCTTAGGATAAACCGAGCTAGGCAATCTCAGACTTTTTCTTTTACATCCCGTAAAGTGAGATGGACTCCCGGATGCCCTGTTATGATCTAGAGTGAGGAGAATCCGCCTTCGTTAGAAAGCCCTCTAATAGCCACGCGCTTGGAACCACTGCCGGAGAATCCCTACTGTCAGGCGTGTGGCTTACGAAACTAAGGGGATTAAATTGGAGTGTCAGACGGTTTGTCTGGGTTAGTAGGTACGGAGAGGTACAATGCCAGTGGTGTACGATGGCTTCAGCATCCTCATGGGCTGTGTCTTACAAACCTGTTGTTTATCACCTGCTACTATGGGACCTCATCTCCTCAAGTTGCTTCACCTCCTTGTGGATTAGACATTTCGGTCAAAAGCTCAGAGTGTGACAACCTGTTTCAGTTTAGGCATCCGAGTAGTATCCCAACTCAGAATCTCAATAATCTGTGTCGCGCATAAGTATTTGGGTGCTCAATAGGTACTTAAATAAATACGTACAAATAGCGAGATTGTTTAGTATCGTCTTAGTGTGCGATAGCTTGAGCCAGTCCGCATTCATTCTTAGTTGTATATACTGACTAAAATTTACTGACTGAAATACTCCTAATTTTTCTCAATATATTAGTGCAAATATTGGTGCAAACGGGCACCCAAATATATTCCACACAAATTATTGAATTCGAGTCTGCTGGAATACTTCGCGGATAACTAAACTGAAGCAGGTTGTTTTCCAAGGTTTCTGCGCCTCTTGCCATTAAACAAATGTTTAATGCACAAGTCAGTCGATCTTATTTGAGAGATAATACCCAACAGTAGCTCCGGATAAACACCATTCGTTCCATCAGCATGCTGAAGCCAACTTACACCTTTGCTCTGAAATCGTGATTTTCAAACTCTCCTAGGTTTCTCATCCCTTATATGAACATCTGTAAGTGCAAAAGTTTATATTACCAAGATGTTAAGTGTCCGTATCAACTGCATTGTAAAGTAACATTAACATTTCCCAGTTAATCTTTAGCTAACACTTTTATGTAAACGAATTAAGTTCGGTTTGTTTCGCTGTTTTTTGTTCAACTAGAAATTCTTGAGTTGGCGAAAATTGTTCTCAATATCAGCAACGTTTAATTGTCTATAAACGTAGCATTTATATGCTACTTAATGTGATCAAGTAGGTTTACGCTGTCTACACCAAATTCACTGAAAATACACGAATCAACAACAAATATAGTTGCAACTCCTTTAAGTTTTGTCTCCTTGGGTTTTACGTTTTTTTTCTAAAACATAACTATCGTTCGTTTCTCTTTTTCCATATTATTTGATATGTCTGACGTCAACAGAAAACGTTTATAAATTTGGAATATGAGTATTTAAAAAGTTATCGTGAATGAATGAGTCGAAATATTTCAATAGTTTCTCTGTCAAACAGATTACTTATTAATCATTAGACCTTATTTTTATTGCTCTCCATTAAATCTGTTCACTTTAGATGATTTTATAAGCCCGATGACTTATATTGATCTATAAGCAAATTACATGAAGTTGAGTAGTCAAAGATGAATCGTTTAAGGAGGACTTTCAGCTTTCGAAAACGGAAAAAGCAAAATAAGAACGAGACTGGTGATTCTTCGAAACCGCAACAATGGCTAAATGATGAGGTAAAAATCAAAGAGGGATTCTGTAGCTTTCAAGTTAAGGTTTGTTTGAAATATTGTTTATGACGTATTATTTTAGTATTTAGGGAACATTGAAGTTTACGAGTCAAGAGGGATGCAAGTATGTGAAGAAGCGATCAAGGCCTTAAGAAAATCAAAGGTTTGTTATACTTGCTTTGATTAAGACATACTGATATTTAGAAGAAACCCCAAAAAGCCGTTTTGTCTGTCAGTGGTGATGCTTTACGCGTTTCAGATGATGTTAGCCAGGTACTTTGGAATTCCATACATTTGTTCCCGTTTTAGCATCTTATCGTCGATCAGACTATTGAAAAAGTTTCGTTTTGTGCTCCTGATCGAAATCACGAGAAGGGCTTCGCATACATATGTCGTGATGGAGCTACCCGCCGTTGGATGTGTCACGCATTTCTTGCTGTCAAGGAATCTGTAAGTTTTTTATGGTGTGTGGGTGTCTTTGTAAAATCTTATAATACACTGAGTAATAGGAGTACCATGTTCGTGTTATTTCTGTTTGGATTTATTTAGTTAATAAACAGCATTCATGTTTGATTTTTTATAGGTTGACAACGCACGACATTTATTTGATTAGTTTTTTATTCATTATGACCGTCTTATTTTAATGTTGCTTTCCACATTGATGAAGTAATCATCTATTTACACCGTAGAAGGATAATTTTTCTTGAAGTGCGTGGAAACGAGTAACCTCAACAGATTTTTCCTCATTCAATTGGTGACCGACAATATAGGATTCGGAATCCATTTGCTTTTGTTCAAGTTGCCACATCAATATAACAAAATAGGAAATTATCAAGAAAAGAAGCAAAGAGAAGAAAGTAATACGAAGTTTAACGAAAGTCTTAGTATAAGATATACTATATCGAGTAAACAAATGAAATCAAACAATGAGAAGTTTAAAATGTCACTTAATATTTAAATGAAGACAAAGCATGAGTGCGACTGCGTCACTACTATCAAGTTTGTACTACATCATCGCAATTAATTGTTACAATCAGTAATAATACTCTTGTCTTTAAATTATGTTACTTTCACATAGCAATCGCTTGTAATGATGAGCAATGTCAACCAGCTAAAACGTAAAACTTTGTGCGTACGTACATCAGTCTAAGTCGCCATATCACTTTAGTACAGAGATGTCATTGTCAATCCAAATCCCATGGTGGTAGATTTATTAGAACTATTAGTGGTAATAAAGGAGATTAAGGTTCGAAGATATTATTCAAGAAGTATAATTCAGTGAAACAAAGTTTAAAAGTCGAGGATAAAGATGATGAGCAATTCACAAGATTATAATTTGAGGGAAGCCTAAGAATAGCTTCATCTGCTCCATTGCAAACGATTTTGGCCATGCCATTCAAAGTCTCTAACTATCCGTTACTGTCGCCTTGCGGACCCCAACCAGGTAGTCTACACCTACCAACATGGCTCAGTTCACTTGTTAATGACTTCATGGGTTTGTGCCATGTTTTGGTTTGACTACCCCTAGCTTTCTTCCAACTCAATCCTACACCACAAAACATTGCTTGTCGAGGCAGTCGGTGTTTAGGCATACATAACACATGTCCTGAACACCACAATGGATGAACATTCACTACCTCATCAATCGATTTGCCATCTCTGCCTAGTATTCGTTTCCTAACAATAGTATTGTTTACTCGACAGTCCCAAGATTAACGAGCAGTGCTACGGAGATACCTACGATCGAATACTGGTAACCTACGAATATCCTCTACTCTTACTGACCATGTTTCGCAGCCTTAAAGTAGGACAGAGCGATCTGCTGCGCAGTTGACTCGTCCTTTAGTTAGCAAACGAATATCTCGCCTACGTCATAAGTGACGCAAGTTGGTAAAAGCCAGTCGAGCCTGAGTTTTCGTCAGACATCAGGTCATGAGCACTGATAAGACCACCGAGATTAGTGGAACGGTCGACAAGATCAACTGCTTCACTCCCTATCACTAGTTAGGTGTGGATGAAAGCTAATCCTGAAGAAACATTTTGCATTCTGGAGGGGGGTGTTTAATTGCATCTCGAACATGCCTGTATTGTTGCTCAGGGTCGTCAGAAGATTCTGCATTTTATCAGCGTCTTCATCAAGTAGAACTATGTCATCGGGATATTATAAGTCAATGAGCGAATCTCCTGGTAAAAGTTCAACTCCTAAAAGTCAGATGATACACTTGTCTTACCTAAAAGCACGTCAATGACAAAGTTAAACAATAATGGAGAAGGTGGACAGCCCTGATGGACACCACTTGAAGCAATCACGTCTCTTGACAGTTCGCTATAAGGTCTGATCCGACCGATAATGTTCGTGCAGAGTGCTTGTATAAGGTTAATGTACTCTGGAACTCTCTTCGTTGAACGACACTACTACAGAATCCCATGGTCAACAGAGTCGAATGCCGCTTTAAGGTCGAGAAATACAACATGCAGGTCGAGCAATAACAGATAGTATAATAAGGTTGAGGCCTACCAGACCAATCAGTTTATATAGTATTTACTATTGTCTTGGTCTGGGTTGTAAGATGGAAACTTTCAATCATTACTGACAAAAACTGGTTGAATTTAGCGATGGGATACACGTGATTTGTACTGAGTGGTATAGGATATGTTATAGCATAGTTTAACTAATAAGGATATACTTTACCAAATTAAATTTCTATTAAAGCTGAAGTTGCAACGTTTTATTCAGTGACTTTTTAAATTCCTGCCTAAATACAGGGTGAACGGTTATCTCATGCTGTCGGATGCGCTTTTGCTATATGTTTGGAGAAGAAACAAAGACGTGAACGGGACGCGCTTCAGTTAGAGGCTTCAGATGATCGTCCAACTTTCGCACGTGTTGGGTCGTTTCGTCCGGTATATTCATGAAATTTTCATCTTTATTGTTTTGAAGTAACAGAATCACAATTATATTTATTAGTTAACTTCCTTTATATGACCTGATTTTTATTTTATTGCCAAACAATGGAAATATTTCAATGTCTTTTCAATAATGGTTTTTATTTCAAATAAGCAATGAGCTTAGACATTGATATTCGGAATGACAGTCTATCACTGTTGATAGCTGCGGAAAATTTTGGGTAGTGGCTGTTTTCTGATTCTATGTTTAAGATCTAAAAGATTCATAACTAATAACACTTTTCTCTTTGAACCTACTCTGTAGTCAGTCAGTCAGTCAGTTACAACATAGAGTTTCGTATGTACGAAGAGGTCTATTTATTTTTACGTTCTTCATTGTAAACTTAAGATGCAAAACTTATAGGTGATCCGAAATGATCCGAAAATTACAATTTCATATTTTATTTACTCAATACGTTGGTGTAACCCTAGGTACTTTTAAACGTATGTGCGGCACATTAAAGGTGGGAAAAATAAGACAATTTAGTAATGTCTATTAAATGGTATTCTGTGACTACCTCAATTAAGTTTCGTATTTATTTTTACATTAGCTACAAACTTATAGTAGTTTTTATTTCTTCATATAACAAAATGTCCAGCACATAATGGAATGACAATATTGTAGAACATTCAGATAATTTGCAAATGAATAGTTCCAGATTAATTTGGGAGTCAGTTGATAATATTGTGATTTTACGTTGATCCTGTTTTAAAAGTTTTTATACGTTATTGTATGTCATAGCGAAATATCTTCATGACTAATCTTTTTAAAATTTGCATTGTTAATAGAAAATGGAAAATAATATATTTATACCATATATATATATATATATATATATATATATATATATATATATATATATATATATATATATATATATTTATATCATTGTGAATAGATTTCAGTTAAATATATTAAAATTCACCAATTTCAACCAGTTTACATTTCAATGTCACTTTATATTACATTTTGAAATAGAAATGTGACTATAAAATACTTAGATAAAGCCTTGTTTTGTATTGTAGGAGTAGGTTGTAAGAAAGTTAGGGGCGGCCAAACCAAAACATGGCAGAAATCCATGAAGTCATTGACTAGTGGACTTAGCCATGTCGGTAATTGTCGACTACCTGGTTGGGGTCCGCGAGACGATAATAATCGATGGTTAGAGACCTGGCTCAAAATCGTTCGCAATGGCGCCGTTGCATTTACTCTTTGTGTTCTCTCAAATCCTAATCTTCTGGATTCTTCAACACCTCTAGTTTTGACTTTCTAAACTTTTCTCATTTAATCATACTTCATGAATAATATCTCATCCTAACCTCTCCGATTACTTCTAATACCTTTACTACCTCTTCTACTATTGGATTTGAATTGACAATTATAACTCTGTGCTGATGTGGTATGGCAACATGAACTGATGTACTTATGTACAAAGTTCTACGTTGCATCTGACTGACTGACTAGATAAAGCATATAATGTATTAACTCTTAGTTATAATAAAACCTTTATAGTCTTCACATTTTTTTACGTTTTTGAATAGGAACAAATGATTTGTCTATGTTACCATTTATATTTGTTTGTTTGTCTGTTTAACTATTAGTTCGTTGTTATAATAGTTACAGTTCATTATGTTCTATTGTGTTATTTTATTTTTGTTTGTTTTAAATAATAGATGATAAATTCTTTCTATTATTTATTAAAGGCTACACTCGCTGAACGATTATTAGATCCTCAGTCTACTATTGCAGTTGACCCAGTTCAAAAACCTGATAAAACATCTTCGACATCATCGACCACTATAACTCGTGTGTCTTCACCAGTTAATCATATTGGAGCTATTCCACGACCCCATGCCAGTCCATCGATTATTGAACGCCAAGTAGGTACTTTTTATTTTGTTTTATTTAATATTTTATCAACATAATTGATAATTGTGTTTAGTTTTTTTTTTGTAGGACTCAGATTGTTCATTGAATCTAGTAACAATATGTCGGGATATGCAGTTGGTTCTGTGGCCACCTATAAAAATAATGAGTTTTAAGTAACTTTTGACTAATTGCAAAGTAAAAATGTGCACATATCAGCTATCGATTAAAAGAAAAGACTTTTAAAGATTATTCTGATGATTAGTTGGTGGACTTATTTCTAACAATTTTTTTGTTCAACATAGATTAAAACAATCCATTACAAAAGTAACATCGTTCGAAGCGACAAGTATTGCGTTGAAGTTTCAGTGTAGACATCATTGGGATACAGATATATGCAGCTGATGATTCTCACATAGAACGAAATATGTGTCTTTAATTCCCCTGCTAACCGTAATTATAAGAAATAGTAAACTTGAAAAAAAAATGAATTCTAATATGTTTAAAAGGTTTAAAAAGAAACTTTAACAAAATGTTTTATTTATAAGTCATGATTTCCTCAAATATTTAGTTTTATACAATTGGATTGTTGAATTTTTCTCTTTAATTACTTACTTTACCCTTTTGAATCAGGGTTCATTAAGAATATTTCCAAGACTACAGGAAACTAGTCCTTTTAAGAGAGATCTTTCATTACGTCTTGAAGGGGTTCCTTCAAATTTACGCCGTTTGCCTGGAATAATTCAAGGTAGGTATAGCTGATTGATCATTTTACTTATTGATCATATTATTTGTAAAATAATTTATTGATACTTATCATAAATTTGTTCAATATACAGAATTTCTCGTTTGAACTTATAAAACACTTAGTTTTGGTTAAATGATAATGAATGCTATCATACTTGTGTATGGTAAATGTGTCATTGAAATAAAGCTTTTTAAAATATACTTAATAAATTGTATAGTGGTGATGTTATAGATTCACATCACTTTACCAACTTAGATGAATTATATTATTTTTAAATAGAGTTTCATATGCTATTTTCTTTGTGGTAAATAACTTTTTGTGAATATCTAGGTTTTTTTTTCTTAAATCAAATATGCTTTTTTCTTTTTAGAATGGTGAAATGATATTCCATGATAATATGCGGATTAATTTCTGATTACACTTAATTCGTAGATCGATTTGATATTCATTAAATCATTTTTGAATTCTATTTAATTTTCGCGGTGTTTGTTTAAGTGTTTTACTTCATATTAGTTTTTCCTCATTAAACAGTAAGCAGTTTTCATTTTACTAGATTAAATGGATGAAATTGCCTCTGTACATGTACATGTACATTTCTAGTTTTCTTATGATTATTATGGTCAAGTTTTTTGACTGTCAGTGAATGGAAGAAACAAGTTAGTACGAACAGTCATTATTCAGCTACAGTATATATTATATAATTGATTAATGAGCACTTCATCGATCAATCTATAATCTATTTTATTACAGATGATAGTTTCTGTTAATGTGATATTTTTCAATGAAGAATCTTATCTGATATGAAATTATGGAATTGATTACTTCAAGTGGCGTTCGTCAAAGTTGTCCACTTTCCCCATTATTATTCAACTTTATCGTTGACATGCTTTTAGGTACGACACTTTCATCGTCTGACTTTTCAGGAGTTGAACGTTTACCAGGAGATTCACCTGATAAACCTAGAATATGTCGATGACATAGTCCTACTTGGTGAAGATGCTGACAAAATGCAGAGTCTTCTGACAACCCTAAGCAACATTGCAAGCATGTTCGGGATGCGGTTTTCTCTGTCGAAATGCAAAATGTTGCTTCAAGATTGGGTTGCATCGGCACCTGAACTAGTGATAGGGAGTGAGGTAGTCGAGCGTGTAGACCGCTTCACTTATCTTGGGAGTCTCATCAGTGCTGATGTCCTGGTGACTCACGAAATCTCTGCTCGGATACAGAAGGCTCGATTGGCTTTTGCCAAGTTCCGTCATTAATGGCGTAGGCGAGATATCCGACTACTACTTTATTTCACTGGATTATACTTGAATAATATTTTCGAACCTTAATCTCCTCTATTACTGTTGATACTTCTACTGAATCCACCACTATGTGATTTGAATTAACAATTGCATGTGGTATGGCGACTCGAACTGATGTATGTACGCACAAACTACTACGTTATAGCTGACTGACTGACTGACATGAAGTTATCTTTGAATTTTATCGTTATTACAGCAACCTTTCATCGTAAGATCCACTACATTTAAGAAACTGTATGACTTTTTAAAGATCAATGTTCAACCTTATGCGTGTTTGAGTGTCTAGCTGTAATGTACGTCGATCTAATGTAATGATATGAAGTATATAGACAGTTATGATTTTTGTTAGCGGTTATACACACAGGCACGTTTGCTTATTTTTAAGTCGACGATGTTTTATGATTGTACAAAAATCCTAACCATTCGAGATTGGTTTTGAAAGAATACCACAATAATCAAGATATCATATTTCGGTGTGTTCGGGGTAGGTATTCATCAGTATTCTATAATTTCTAGGATATATATGTGTGTGTGTGATTGTTGGGCTCACCATATAGAGTAGTTCTTATCAAGTTGCACATCAATGTATAACGTGAAATTCCAAGAAGTATTTGTTTGTTCACTTTTAATTTTAAACAATTACCTGATAAATATTTAAGCTGTCTACTCAATATTTGTGAAGATTTATTAATCATGGATTGAAAAATAACAAAACACTGTATATTAATTATCATCACAACTTATAGTCTTGCATATGTATAAACATGCAGATAACGCTATCTAAATTTTTGCTGCATTGATGTAGACTTATCAATGCACTTGTCATCCAATGAAGGTGTGATAGGTTTTGGTTTCAACTCCGCCTACTTTGATTTAAGAAATCGACTCATAACTCAGTGCGCAAATCTATATTTAGTTACTTCAATTAGATTTATCATTGTGTATGTTCTGTCTTTGTAAGATCCAATGACAATTTACAGCCTCTTTCAACATCTTTATTCAATTTTAGTAACATAATGTTTAATCAGAGGATTGACATCGAGTTTCATTGTTGGTGCATTCTGATTAATTCAACATTGAACTTTCATTACATACATTTTCATTAGTCATCATTTTATTTGATCTATTGAACACCACTTACTTGAATTCTCTCTCTTGAACTCAGACAGTTTAGCTCAAAAAAAAACAACTGTATAAATAATTTATGGTGAATTAAAAGAACACTAAATTAATTAGTAATAATTTTAGTATCATGTTAGTTATTCATATCATCATAATATTATTTTAGTAAGTTTTCATATGTGTTTTATTGTTTAGTTTTCGTAACATTTAAATCAGTTGACTAGTTATTGGTTAGTGGAACTATCTTTCCAACATTTTAATTAATTAGTAGTGTTGTAGTATTTATCTATTAATTCGTACTTGTGTTGTGACTTTCGAATCGTGCGGGGTGCAGGAGTCGTGGATGCGCACTGCTGAGGAGTCCCATACTAGGACGAAACGGCCGTCCAGTGCTTCCAGGTTTCTAATGGTGGTCTAACAATGATCGGTTCATGGTTTCAAAAATGTGTAACTTTCTTAAAAGTAGTTTTTTTCTTCCAATTAATATGAGATAATACTGTTCATTTAGAGGTATACTACCTATTTCATATTGTACAAATTGAGGACTATTATGCCACATAGACTATGTTTAACACCTTTATCTAATTTTTTTAAATCTATTTTCAAGGTGCACCTATAGCTGAAGAACCAGACAAAGAATTTGAATCAACTGGATTAGGAGCATTTGTTAAGAATAATGGGCAACTTGAAAAGAACCAATCAGTTACTGTAAATTCTACGTCTAATTGGAACCCATCCATAGTAGTAGTGACCAGTTCATCTTTTAACGTTCCAATGATGAATGGTTCAGTTTCAGTAACTCAACAATTTATACCTAGTAGTCCATTTATGAATGATTTAAATTTTAATGCTGGAACATCGCAAGCATTAATGCCACCAATTATTTCCGATCCTTTTTCTGCTGCTCCAGTTAATCCAGCTACAATAAAACAACACTATCAAATGGAATTACAACAGCAGACAGCTCAACAGCAACAACATCAACAACAAATCACAGATCCTTCACTAGTAAATTCCAAAGCAAGTTTGGTTTATTGTGCTTAACCTTGTTTTATCTCTTCATGATATATTTTTATTGACAACTTTAATTTCATTTGCATGAATGTAATTGACCTAGAATACATAAATCATTATTTTCCTGTTAGATGAAATCATTCAGATTATGCTATCACAAATGTAAAATGATACCGCTTAACGTGTGTATCATGAATACAGATGCATCAGTTAATCAATAGGAAGGAATATGATCTTTTGTATTTATTAATTCATTTACTATTTGAGTTATGTCTTAAGCCCAGTCAGATGATAACTGACCAATGAAGAACAAATCGACACGTTTATGATGAAAAATTCTTCATTGTACCGAATTTATGATATTGATCAACTATTCTCATACCAATTATAGGTTGATTGTATAATTCGGTTAGCTTTTATTGTTCACAGTCTTTGTAGCTTTAATGTTTCAAAGTGAGAAGAAGTCAATGACTATTTAACAGTTATTTAATTTTCTGAAATCTTACATTTACCATCGAATCATTGGATATATACACTACACAGATTATATTTAAATTTCCAATTAAGTAGTTGTTTAAATGCTTGCTAACTAAAACGATTTGAGTGTATATCGTATAAATTTGGTCTTTAACTTCTGTTGTAAATATATTCAACCTGGTGTTGTTAGTCAGTCTTTTGGTAAGAAATTTATAGTTTCTTATTTTTAGATAATTTATTTGGGAATAATTCAAAACTCGATAGTTGCTATCATCATTTAGAAATACGGAAGTGTTTATTGTATGTTATACTCCAATCGTATGCAGAAAGTGTTCCACTCTAAATTGCAGCGGTCACTCAAATTATTTGAACAATTCTTTATCGGATATAAAAAAATGCCATTAGCGATTACCAACTTTTCACTATTCATCATATAACTCCAAAATATCTGAATCATGCAAATAATGTTAGATGATGATGTCATTATTTATCAACAATTATTCGACAATACCGAAATATGATACACTTCAGAGATATATACAGAAAATATTTTATTGTATACTTGTTTATACAAATTTCACAAACTAATCGGAATAGAGAAACTTATAATTTCATTGATTCATATTCATAGTTAGTTAGAATATGTTATAATTATTAACATTATTGTACATTTTAATAAATGGTATATAAAAAATATAATCAAATTTTATCATAAATTAATTAAATCATTATGGTGTTATTAAATTTTGTACCATTTTTAAATAAAAATTTTTAAAATGAAACCGGAAATTAGGTGAATGAATATATAACAACGGTTAACTTAAAATTTTCAACATGTGTGTCATGTTAATGAGTATTGATTATATTGTAGATAAAGTTTATTGACTTTTTGTTGGAACTCCATTTTTATATTCTTTGCATGTAATAGTAATAATAACAACTATATATTTTTAGGCTTCAACGACAGTTGTTACAACTGTCAGTTCCACACCGACTTCACCGTTTTTAGGTGGACCACCAATTGCCGCTCCAACTGTATCGACTACAACAGCTTTTAATTGTAGTCCATGGGGAGTTACATATCCACAACAGATGCAACAATTTAACAAATCTATTATTCAACATAATTCCATGTCACCTAGTTCTACTATTGGTACAGTGAATCCTCAATCAAACTTAGTTTATCCTTCCAATGGTTCTGTAAAATTGGGTGAGTGTGAAATTATTAAATTATAGTCGATGAATACTGTATCAATTCATGTGTTGTTATCATTGTTCTTTTATTGTTGTTGACTAGTAATTTTCAGTACTCTTTATAGTCATCTATTTTATTCTAATTACTTTTGATTATTGTCTTCTTCTCATCTGACATTTATTTCGCTTGATTTTTTTTTTCAGGTTCTACAAATCCATGGTTATCATCAATTAGGTTGACTGGTGAAAATAGTAATAATACAAACTGGCCAACTTCATCGTCATCATTATCACCGGCTCTTCTACCACCGGAACCTGATTGTCTGTCGGATCCGTTCGATTTAGGTTGGGTGGAGAGAGCTACAGCTGGTGTATCGACTACATCCAATGGACGAGGAATCAATAATCCATTTCTGATTACCAATGGAGGTGGTGGTGGTGGGGGTGATAATATTCTTAATCAAAATTGAATAATCTTTTCGTTAATTAAATCAACAATTTAATTATTAGTTTTGTTTGTATATAATACATATATATATCTATCTATCTATCTATTTATCAACAAAAGGAATGAAGAAAGTTCTGTTTCAATAATGGTCAATGGTGAATTTCATTTCTATTTCATTACTATTTATTCCTCATTTGTTAGTCTCTCTCACTAACCATAACTTTCTTTACTTGATACAAAACATACTCTATAATAACATATTTAGAATATCATGTTTCAAAATGAATTACATTGTTTTACAATATGTTTTTTGCTTCAGTTTGTAATTTTATCAGGGGTACGAATAAACAACATCATTATTAAAAACATTAAGCCAATGCCTATATGTCCGCATTCCTTCACACACACACACACACACATATATATATATATATTTATATGTACACAAATAAACACTTCCTTTCTGTATCGATTATTTCTCCATTATCCATCAAAACAGTATATGACATGGATAACATTGAAGAGCATTGGAGGCGGAATACTGTTACATTTTTTCTCTCCAGTAAGAGTTTCGACTAGCACATTCGCTACTGAATCAGTGTTTTCGTCAACAAAAAAAGTGATAGATTCTCCTGTAGTAATATTTTGATGTCGATTTTCTTGTTTCCTTTTGCTTCTATCCATAATGCTTCTTTCTTTTAGAAATTCGACAACATTGGCAAATAATCTGAGTATATTTTGCACAAAATAACCATTATATATGCATTGCCTCTCTTATTATTTTTTATCGTTAGTGGTATTGATTGATCTTACTGCAGTCGCTCGTATTTGTTTATTTATCTAATTTCTCTGCCTTTATACCCTCGCCTTCAGTTTGATCTCTTCATTGCTTTGTTCATTTTTTTTAATCTTTGAACAGCGGTTTATTTACTTGCCACATTGCATGCCTATTAAACTCTTTTCCTCCTCCTCCTCCTTGTCTTCATCTCTATCATCATTTATCTACACCATTCTTTCTTTTTTTTTGCTTTTCAACAGTTCACGTTTTCATTCAGTGGACAAGTTTTCCTTTTCCATTTATTGGCTTCAATTTCTCTATGTTTTGTTTTTACTAAAATTTCATATTTTCCTGATCTTATAATGTAACATATTGTTTTTATTTTCAATTGAAAACAAGAATTACTGAATTAAAATTAATCACACTATTATTATTATTATTATTATTCCCAAATATGACTTCATCTTATTTTCTTCCTAGTTTCGCTTGATTTTATCATCTTCCCTGTGTTGTTGGCTACTGCTACTGCTTGTGGTCTGTTAACCAACCATAAAGATGATTGGGCAGCGATGCTAGTGATGTTGGCAAATGGCTATTAGAATCATTAATAATTTTCACATCAATATTTTCCTCTTTTCTATCTCCAGCTTCTTTTTAATATTTTTGGTTAACGATGTATTATTTACTTTGTTCTCTTACTTTGTTACAAATTTTTTTTTTCATAAAAATCTTTTATTTAAATATAACTAATTATGTGTGACAGAAAATTGTTTTCTCGAACTTTCAATAATCATAGAAATTTTATTTGATAACATTGTGTAACATGATTTAATGCTTATTTACCAGTGCAGTATTTTTTCAATTTGAGAGACGTACTTGAAAGAAATTAATTTAATGACCTATTTGTGTATTATTCTACTTTTTCTTTGTTTTCTGTATAACTTTTTTTTCTCACTAATGACAAACAATCAACACAGACTGTGTTATTAGTTCTAGTAGCAATAAGCATAACATTTAAAATTCTTAATAGTAGATTGTATATCAGCTATCTTATTTGATGTTTGATTTATACATATACATATACATATATATAAATATATTTATGCGCCAAAATAAACTTTAAACCAATCTCTTTTTCTTTCTTATTGTCACTTGATGTTGTTTAGTAGAAGTGAGATCTACTTTTTCTTTTCTGTCATTTCATTTTATCTGTTATACAATTAATTTACTCATACTCTTTTGAATTTATTCCAGATCTTCTGTGTATTAAAGATAAATGAAATAATGTGAACATTACAAATAGAAATGATTTTGATGTTACAATTTTGTTTGTTTTTATTTAATAAGTCCAAAAATTACTTCCTAATTCACACACACACACACACATACATACATGCAAGCTTACAATCATCAAGGTCACAGGTTCGAATACTGTCTGTCTGTTCTTTTTACTTCAATTAGGCTAGTTAGATGATGCAATCAGTCCGTATACCTTAAAACTGAGTGCATTAACTTGCACTTGATAAATGAATTCGATTATTGTTTTGTCATTAAATTAACAGTTATAAATGAGGTGGTTTTTGTGGAGATTAAACTTGCTTCTTTAGAAACACTATAAAAAAATGCTAAAGAACAGTTGTTTCAGTCTACTTTGTAGGCTGTTATTATTTAACACAGGTATAACTGCTACCACATACGGAATCGACATCAAAACTTGTTAACTAATTCAATATTGTTTTAATGTTTCTCAGTCAATAGTGAAAATGTAAAAGTTAAATAAATTCGGTATATACAACAAGTGTGAATGTTAATTTGCTTTCTTGGAAAAGAATTTAGAATCCAAAAAAGTAGATGTAAAAATTCACTTAAAACTATGCTTAATCTATCGATTTTATGGTATTTTAACATCATAAGTCTTTAGCAAAAATAACAACAGTGAATTGTTTTTATTTTGAAAATAGAAATCGATCGATTGTGTTTTTGGCAGTTGACTATCATATTTTGGTTACCACTAATGAATAAATGAAATGACGCCATATATATATATATGAGTGACAGATTGCTGAACGACAATGCATCGTTTTCTATTCTAAGTAAAATATACTACTGAATAATGTCATTGAACTTGCAATTCATAATTTTGGCATTCATTGATTTCCATAGCATTGTTTGTAAATATTCACTTGCTGGTAAATCAATATAATTAGTTGACATTAGGAGTCATCTAAATGTAACAATTCATTCGAAGAAAGAGTTCTTGTATACAGTTTTACGATACTTAAATATATGGTAGTGAAAAATTGGAGTTTGTAAAAACAAGAATAATCAACCAATTAAATCCTTTAGATTTATTCACCTTTTGATTATCATATTGAAGAAGCTGATAGAAAGCAAACGCATTGCTTCCCCTGTATGTTACATCTCATTGCATACAACACAAAAATTATCATACGCTACAGATATTGCTGATTCACTCAAGAGATCTTTAGTTTTCTCAACGGATTTTTCAGTACATCACTAAGTATATAGTCAGTAGTGTAGAAATGAATTATAACAAATCCATTCAATAAAATCGCTAAACGTCTGTGGACACTAAAGGGTAAAATAGACTTTCATAAACTCATTGGAGTTGGAGAAGGAACTTTATTTCCCCCAATGGTAAAACTTATGCGTGCTACCCATGATGAAACATATGCCACCGATCAGAATTCTCCAAACAACTCTGTCCTGGAACTTCCTTTCCAGTTCTAACCGATTGCTATTAATTTTTCCTATGTTTGCTTCTAATTCTCGGCGCAGTTTGTTTCTTGATCTACTTATTTTCATTCACTCTTGATGATTTCAAGTTAGGGCGTGTATCGTGATGCAGTTGCGTGACATCCGTAATTTATCCTATCCACCTCCAGCATTTTTTTCCAAATTTTTTCCTCATCTGTAATCTGGTTTGTCCTCTCCCACAGTAAGTTGTTGCTGATGGTCTACAGCCAAAGGATCCAGAGTATCTTGCGTAGACAACTGCTAATAAACACGTATTTTGCAAACGATGCCTTTCGTAGTTCCTCAAGTTTCCGCTTGATACAATAGAACGGTTTGTATTGAAAATTCTGACTTTGATGTTGGTTGACAGTTGTTTTGAGTTTCAGATGTTCTTCAGTTGTGAAAATACTACCGTTGCTTTGCCAATCCACTCCTTCACATATGCGTCACATCCTGCTTGTTTACCAATAATACTGTTCAGGTATATAAACGTTTCCACGTCTCCCAGAGCTTCTCGGTCAAGTGTGGTTTGGGTGGTGCATGTATTGTACTGGAGGATCTTGTTTCCTCGATTGGGGAAGGTTGACACATGCTGCTGCCACACTGCCCATCTTCATCTGCACTTGTTTTGTGTGTGAGATAGGAGAGCTATGTGATCTGAAAAGTCCGAATCGTCCAGCTGCATCCTAGCTGTCCACTGTATCCCGTTTCCCCTGAGATGTTGACGTCTTCATAATCTAGTCTACAACCAGAAAAAAGAGAGAGGGCGGGAGTAAGCAACATAGTAAGACACCGGTCTTTACTTGAAATGAGTCTATCAGCTGTCCTCTATCCACGATTTTGGAGTTTAATCCATCATATTAATTCTGTATAGCGGTGAGTTCCATTCAACTGATTGTCCCATACTGGTGCGCAGTGTTGCGATTTGGTTCGTACACGATCGATTGTTATGGAATCCAGTCTGTTGACCTCGAAGTTGGACGTCCGTTTATCAGCTCTTATGCTCCTATTCACTTGTTTGTTTTCTTCTATGTATTCAACGTGTTCCATGGCTTTCTCAGCTCTTGTTCAACCATTATTGATTGTTGTCTCCATCCTTTCTCATATCTCATCCAGTGTAATTACAGTAATCCGTTTCTTATGACGGTGCTTCAGTATCCCACAGGAAGGCCATATTAAACTTTTGTAATGCTGTTCGACTAGTTGTCCAGTGCTTCTTCAGTTTCAGCTTCATTTTGGCAATCACCAGGTGATGATCCGAGGCTGTGCCTGTTCCTCTCTTTATTCTTATATCCCCCGTGGTCCTTTTGAACTTTCCGCAGATGTGGTGGATTGGTTTCTGTGTAGTGTGATCCGGTGAATCTCATGTAGCTTTGAGTTTGTGTGGGAAAAAAAGCTTATTTTAAATGGGTGAATCATTTGAAACAGAGAACTTAGGAAGTTATTCGCTAATGAACAAGCAGCCTGCTAAGGTTTCGGATTATCATTTTTTTAAATATGTATTTATTGCCATTAGCTATCTCGTTTTAGGTCTCTCAGTTAACTAATTATGTTTGTCAACCGTGTACACTTGGACACTTTCATAAAATATTGACAAACTATCGGCGACTCGATTACAACGAAACTGAAGAGGTGATACTACAGTGAGTCGTATATTTGACTCGTACTCTCCTATGTTTTTCAGAGAAATGAGAAATGATGATAAAATAATTCAAATATCTATATTATATATGACAATGTGGACAGATGTAGTGGGAGCAATACTGATTGTAAACATTTTTAGATGAATATGAATGCAAATCCATCACTGTTTTAAGCTGTTTATACATAGTGTTTGAAAGTTGAATGCTTCAAAGATGATAGTTTTGTTTCAATGTTGTATATTGTGAGCTGAAAATTATTAATATTAGTAATCAAACGTAATCAGTTGAATAAAACTGAGTACGTTTATTGTAAAGCCTATTCATTAAATGCTTCATGTATACTGTTTGTATATTGTTCGACTTGTAAGTGTCTGTTCGGATCCATTAACTAATACTATTTCTTTTTCTAGTTATAAGTTACAGTAAATTAAACAATAAAATATTTTTTTCACTTTTATATCATAAATATCGTTGTTTTATACTTATTCATATGTATTATTTCTGATGAATTATAGTCCTATATTTTATGTATGTAGTTACAAAAAATTCCAAAATCTAAAAAATATATGTGTGTGAGAGATACTTGTCTAGTTTTCCTATCATTCTAACTGGTAGTTTAGGAAATGAGACAGAATATCGCTTGTATTATTGATCATCCTTAAAGTATCCATCAACTACATTGGGATGTTTTTGCATCGACACTTGAACTAGTAATAGGGAGTGAAGTAGTTGAGCGTGTCAACCGCTTCACTTATCTTGGGAGTCTCATCAGTCTTGATGGCCTGGTGTCTGGCGAAATATCAGCACGGATACAGAAGGCTCGACTGTTTTTTGCCTACTTGCGCCACTTTTGGCGTAAGCGAGATATCTGTCTGCTAACCAAGGGAGGAGTCCACTGAGTAGCAGTTCGCTCCGTCCTATCTTACGTGTGTAAAATATGGCCACTACAAAGCTAGGATATTCGTAGATTACTAGTATTTAACTGGGCATACGATTGGACTAGTACGCTTTCACTGGGCCCTTCCTGTAAAGGTAATAAAATTATTTTATAAGGAAGGTTAGATTTCAACACTTAAGTTATCATAATTTTCATATTATGAGGAATCTGAACAATACTTCATGAATCAGACACAGGCTTTTATACCCCTACTTACCCTGAATCATTATCTTTTCTACAAAAACTATTCCGACAGTTGTTTATCCAAAACAACTTATTTTTGTTTACTATACTTTTATGACCATAGCTATTTTAAGTTCTAATTTTTTAATCTATCAGTTGACTATTATGTCACGATTCTTTACCAATATCCGTATAACAATATCTGCTTTTCAAATACAATACTGTTCAATATATATGGACAAAGAAAACTAATCAGTGAACATCAGTTTCCTTCTATCTAGTTGATTCAATAATAAAGGTAGATTACCATTATTTCGAACTAAAACTTGATATTTTGAAGTGAATTTTAATCCGAAATGTATATGAACTAGAGAATCGTTAGAGACCAGTGTGCGTCACAAATTTAATTCTTTCTGTTTTAGGATTGTTGTGTTTACCGACGCGACGTCATCAAAGATCAAACCCATGATCTTCGGATTGCAAGACAAACAGTGCCATTAAACCAATGGTTAAGTTAGTCCGTAGTCAAAATTAACTTGCCATTGAACAAGATCTCTAAAGTAATGAAAGATTGTCTTGTTGGTATTCAGTAACTAATAGTTTATTTGCACAATGGATCTGCAGAAACCTCAGTTGTTAAATGCTAGGAAAACCATAGACTTAAGTTTCGTGCTATTTGTTGCTCGTCGGAAAGACATATTTGCAATCTTGAGGAAAATGATTCTTCCTGTCCTCAATGAAAACATTATAATTTGTAACATTGAGTTACTCAAGTTCAAACCTTATAGAGAAGAACAGTCCCC